GGAAGATAGATAGAACGAGGTTACATTGGAACTGGCAGTCAAGTAATCAAGCTACTTCCCTTCCTTGGGCTATGAGGGATAGGAGTTCCTGGCCCCATTTAGCAGTTGACTGCCTGATCTTCTTTCTTTTTCAAGTCACGATCAGAATAAAAGAAAGGGAAGTTCGCTAACTAAACCGAAAGAAGAAGCTGTGGGACTACTTCACGCAGTTAGTCCGTTCTTGTGAATGACTCCGAAGCTATTTCTATTTACTATCGAGATTCTTTGGACCATATTTCCTAGTATCATCCTGATGTTCATTGCTATACCATCATTTGCTCTCTTATACTCAATGGACGAGGTAGTAGTAGATCCAGCCATTACTATCAAAGCTATTGGACATCAATGGTATCGGAGTGCGCCCCTTCACGAGGGTGATTTAAGTGCAACGAAAGGCCTTCAACTTGAATATGGTTCGCGAAGCATCTGCCTTACCGGTAATCTCCCATTCCCGCCGTCGAGAGACTTTAAAAACTATAGCATGCCAGAAACGGGGAGTTGAGGTGGTTAGACCTATACCCCGAAATGCTCCCTCAATTAAATCGACCCTATGGTTCCATTCTTGTTGTTGCTGGAGGCTCGATATAATTGACCTCTTCTCGGTGTGGAACGATATACGAGAAATAGATGCTCAGCCTGCAATGTCCGATAACGGCGCTGAAGTAGTGAATCTATCGGCACCATAGCAGTGGCATACAACTTTTGACCTAACGGCCGGCCTAGTAACCTTTCGGAATGGGGGATCCCCGTTGGCAACAACCACGGTAGTAGTTGCGGAACTACTGGGCCGGGAGAGGACAACCTGTTGTTCCTGCTCCTCTTTCTTCGCTTCGGGGACGGAGGTCCTATGGTAGGTAACAACGGGCACAAGCAACTTGACCGAAGGGGACCAGCGCTTCTACTCCTCCACCGAGGAGCCGTTCACAGCGAGAAGCAAGGGATGTCGTGAACGGTGGGAGGTCACAGAGAATTTACCTATACTTATTCATAGAATGATCCTATGATCGATACAGCATATAGACTATCCCTTTCTTTATTCTATTCTTTTTCTGAAAAAAAAGGATGAGCCTTTACTAGGTTGGAGTTATGAAGCTTACCGCTCCGTGGGTATTAGAGAAAGGGGAATGGAAACTGGGATCAAGCGAAAAAAAAAAAGAAGGACTTGTTCTCAGACCTTAACGGCCTCACCCCTATCCAGTACAGTAACTCCTTGAAAGGAGTTGGAATGTTGTCAGGGAAAAGGGTGCCTCAGTCTATATTTCTCTCCTTCAAAGGCTTTAAGACACCATTATATAATTATATACTGAATTTCCAATTGAAGTTAATTCAAGAGGGACTCTATGGCGGAAGACTGCACCTCGAAAGCACGCTTTCTTCTCGCGATCTGAAACACACCTTTCCGGCCTATCAAGGCTAGCATTCGGATATCAAGACCCTTAGCTTTCTTGCTATTTTCCACATGGAAGAGAGACCCGAAGACAGATAGGAGAGTAATAAATGTATAGGGGTGCTGCAAGGGCATAAGAGTAAGCCGCATACTAGAGCTTTAAGTTTAATCATTTCCGTATTATTCCGATTTCCAGCTCCATTAAGGGTTGACTTATTCCCAAAGATTCTGTCCTAAGTTTGCGGCTGGACATCCTCCATCCGGTTATTGTCACAAGGTGGAAGTCGTTCCTTGTGATGGCCTTGATCAAGGTCTCAGCTACCCAAACCAACCAGCCAACTTACAACGCAGTGGAATTAGGAGGTCTAAACACTGGGGGCTCGGCCTGGCACACCAAGCACGGAGCAGGGCGCACTTGAGCACGGGCAAGAGATGCCTGGGCACGACAGTCACTGGGCGCGAGCACGGTCTGGACGTGCACTGGACAGAACGCTCCTAGCACAAACTTCTTACAAGTAAAACCAACAAAACAAAAAGTACACACGAGCAGTAGTTACTTTGTTGAGATTCTGAACACCTATGGCATTTTTTTAGGTATCTAGTTAATCTCATTATGACTTTGTAGTTGGGATTCTCTTTTTTATCGATCAGAATGGAAGGCATGGAAAGAAATTAAATACTCCTTTTCCCGCGAAGACAGACGTTCAGAAGTAGCGGTTTGTTCGACCTTGCGTTGCGGGTCAAAGAACGAGATACTTTTTTAAAGCAAATATCTCTCCGAAAGGTGGGAGGGGTGCCGAGATCCTGGGCAGCGGGATCTTCCCATCATGATCGACGCGAAGGGAAAGTCGCACAGAGATATTGGTTCGAATCCAATTCATGATGTAAGTTCAGAAGGACTTCATTCAATCGGATGGAGCTTGAACTAATAGACAGATGGGATTGTTTGCAACAAAGTGTCTATATAGCATAGCAAGGGCTCTTGAAACTATATCCTATAGAATAGGGACTCGACCAAAGGCTCAGCCGAAAGAGAAACTTTCTCAGTCGAAGGATAAACTGAATTCAAATCTCACTTTAAGACGGTTGTTAGCCGTCTCAGTAAGGGTAGTGAGCAAGTTTAGGTTTAGGAATAGGGTCTTAGAAGTTGAGGAAGCGAAGCAACCTCTTCTCTTTGCGGGGACGGGATTCGTTTCAGTTCTGCGGGCAGAAGAAGAAGTTTATGCTTGCCTTGCTTACTCGGATATTGATTTTCTTTGCGGGACGGATTCTTAAGGCGTGAAAGTATTCCATCGGGCTTACCGCTGAAGGAAGTGTTCAAGTCGCTTCTTTTCCGCTTTCAAGCTGAATCAAGTGGGTCAGATGGGAAGTCCAGGTCAAGGTTGATTGATTAGTTATGTGGTCAGGTGAAGCTTACGCTAGCTAGTTTCCATTCCTTCTTACTTATGGCTCAACCAAAGCAAACCTCTCATAGGGGACGAATTGCAAGGGGAGGAATATTTCTCTTTTAGTGATATCTTTGATTAAGGATAAGGACACTTTGCTAGTTTCTAATTACATGAGAACTAAGCTAGGTTCCGTGTTCGACAGTCGTAGTAGCTTGTTCTGCTCCCATGTTTTCTTTTCTGGTTTTGAAGGCCCGGGCATGACTTAAGAAAGCCAAGGGCTAGCTGAAAGCCAAACAAGCTAATAAGGTCCACTTGACAACTCCTACGCGGCTAGTGGCCTACGATAAACGATTGGAAGATTCGAGCTTGCCTTTGATTTTAGGAAAGAGACTGGGTACTACTTGGAAACTGTAACTTTCTGATGAGGCTTGCTTGGCCGTAGTTCCGTCCGCATCCCCTGTTAGCGTGTTTAATGCTTTCGACATCGATCTTGGGTCAGTATGGGTGTGCTTCCCTTTACTCAATTCAATCTGGTCTTGAATGGCTAGCCGAGCTGTGAACTCCTAGCTTCTGCCTTCAAAGCCGGGTCAGTGATACCACTCCCTCTTTCTCTGATAGAGATGCTGGCCCGCCGATTGGTGAACCAAGTGCTTATGCCAACAATTCCTCCCTTTCGTTTGCTTCTTTCGGTCCGCTCTCTTGCTTCGGTCAGGAAGAGTAGGCTGACAACCACTGACTGTCCTGTCTCGCTCTTTCCCATATACGGATTACAGAAGGCAGTTCAAACTAGGGATGCGTACGGAAAGGAATTCACTGAAGCAGTGGGCGGGGCAGATGCTGCTCTTCCAGCTGGCTACTAGGTTGCTTGGGCTAGGGCAATCATCCGTAGCGTGTCGTGTCTAATCGGCAAGGGCCATGGCCCTTTCCTTTGATTTTTCTCTTTTTCATTGCTGGATGGCCTGCTTGAATCGGTAACTGGGGATCGAATAGGTCTCTCTCACTTGACCAGCTAGCCACGAACTAGGGAAATCTGGAAGCAAAGCAGCACCTGAAAAGGCAGCCATTCCAGAGCCAGAGACGGTTGACCGAGCGTAGGCTGGAAGTACAGAACGGATTTCTATCAAAAATACCGGGCTTGAATGCAGGAACTTATTAAGGGGAATATGAATTGAATGAACTCTTCAGCTAGAAATGCGATTCGATCTCTTTCACGCTTAGTTTGCTTTCGACATCTATATTTGGTTGGTGTGCATTGATTGTCAGTTAGCCGGGTAATCCTGAAAGACAGGAAGATGCGGATAAAACAATAGACTGTACGAAAGGCCAGACGGGATCTACCCGCTGACGAGTCGACTCCCACCAGCCTGCCTCTTCTACCCCTTATTATTTGATTTGATAGGCCCGCCTTCTGAACTGGCTATACTTTCTACCTGACCCGTACGCTGTCACTCCCACCAGCCTGCCTCTTCCATTTGTCCTTGTTTCTTAACTGGACTTAACATGATATTCGGATTTAATCGGTATAACTGGAACCAGTTAAATACGAAACTGAACTGATATTAATTTACTGAACTGAACTGGACCCAGAATTTTAGCTGAAAATGGTACTAAAATCAAGAACCGAGACTGAAACCACAAAATATGGGCTGAACCGGTCCAGCGGTCTGAAGCGGTCTGAACCGGTCTGGACCGGACCGCCGGTCTGTTGAACCGGTCGGTCGGTCGTTGGCTCGGCCAGCAGGCCTGCCGAGGCTGCGCACACAGGCGCTGCCTGGCCTGGCCTGGCTGCTGGGTGCTGACTTCCTGCGGTACTGGGCACAGCCACGCGTGCTAGCG